TGGGAATATTAAGATGTGTAAGATACATGGCTATTGATGTTAATATGTAACTGTTAAGATAGGGCAGTGGCACAGGAAGAACAGAGATGTTAATAATGCGTAACTTCAAAAGCATTTTGAGAAAGGATCCGTAGAAGCTCTCCCTTTTTAAACATGTGCTATGCTGTCTCAATTAATTATGCTTCAAGATTTGAGAACCTGGATGCAAGCATTCATAACAAGCTTTTTTTTTCCTTAGGAAAAAACAAGGGCTTATAATGGAATCATTATTCGCCATAAAGTAATGCTACTTGAAACCTTTGAGATTCTACAAAAGGAACATAATTTATCTAAAAAGGCTCAACGGCAATATATCCAGTTAAAACAGTTGTTATCTACATGTTTGGCCCTGATGCCCTTGCGGCCTCTCAAGTGCCAGAGGCATTAAGTTTGCTAGAGAAGGCTTTTATTAAAACTAAACTGACAGTTTATTACTACCAACATTTAAAAAGAATAACAATAAATGTGCACGATGTACAAGAAATTTGGAATAGAGAATGGGAGTATTCTATAGTACATAGTAAATAGCCTCAGGTTTAAGGCAATTGAAAATTTGTTCCTTAGGATGTAAAATTTAGTTAATGCAACAAAACACTTCCTTTAGGGATTATTAGAGCCCTCAGGAAACATTTTTAAATTGTTGGCTCTCATCGTTGCTAAATTTGAAGGAACTATAATATATAGATTATGAGTATAATTCATCATTGGTTAGATATTATTGTAATGCTGAATCAAGTTCTTTGAAACTGGTTCAGAATTAAAGTTTGTAATTAAAGATTGACACATGGACTATACTGCATCTTATTATCAGATGCCCCTGATATTTGCTGGTTGAACCCCTGGGAATTCTTTTGAAATAGGCACAGTGATATTATCTCACCTCTTTTCTCTGAGAGTAATTTTAATCTGCACAATAACTTGAGTAGAAATGTTGTTTTCCAGAAATCATACATTGCTATTATTATTGTTAACTGTTAGGTTTATACTGTATACATTTTTTATTGGAGTTAAGGGTGCTGTATATAATACTTCCCCCACTAATTATTCCCCAGAACAACAATCCTACAAAGTAAACTGAGATGAGAGACAGTGACTGGTCCAAAATATTCTAATGAGCTAACAGTTAACAACCGGTTCTCCTGAAGTGGTGCGAACTGGCTGAATCCCACCACTGAATAAGCTTCCATGGCACAGGAGTGCGGTAGAGGCTTAAAATGTCTTTCCTTAGTCTATTCAAGCAATCACTTTACTATACTACCTCTAGACCCGGATGTATTTTGATCTGGAATGAGCAGAAGATTCATTGAGTTTTCTGCAAAACCTGGAATATGAAAACTGATGGATCTGAACTTCTGTGGTTTAGTTTTCCTTGCTTGTGTAATGTTATTAATTTGCTTTCCTAAAACAGGTGGAAATGAATCCCATGCAGTGGTGGGTTGCTCCCGGTTCGCACCGGTTCGCAAGAACTGTTAGTAAAAATTTTTAGTAGTTCTGAGAACCGGTAATAAGATTGGCTGGCCACGCCCCCAAACTGGTCCCTGGCCCGGTTGCCGCTCGCTTACCCTGAACACCGTCATTGCCCGCATGCAGCCCCGGGACTCCGTCCTTTGCCAGCCAGGAGCGCTGGTGCCAGTTGGTCCCGTGCACCCGGCTGCCTGCCTGCCTCGTCACCACCACCATGAGGAAAGGCCCCAAAGTTATGCTGCCTGGGATCCACGTGGGCTGCCGCAGGGAGAAGTCAGGTATGGCTGGGGGGGATGCTGCCTCTTAGCCGGCTCGAACTGTCTGCTGCCACAACCTGCCACCATCCCCTCTCCCCTGCCAGCTGCTCCTGTGCAAGAACCGCTGCCGCCAAGGGCGAGGGGGCAGTGGTGGCAAGGATGGGCCGTCCAGGGCTTCCTTGTCTCCCTGCCCAAGCAAACTTCTTGCATAGCCCTAGGCCTCTTGAGGAAAGGACGGAGGGAGGGAAGCCCTGGCCTGCTGCTGCTGCTGCCATCACCTCCTTGCCCCCAGCAAGAGTGGTTCTAGTGCTGCCGCTTCTCCGGCAGCACCAGGAGCAACTGCCGGGGCAGAGAGGGTGGGGCAGGCTGTGGTGACAGTCCGTTCTCACCAGGTAACAGACAGGCTGCTCCTGGAGCAGCTAGGAGAAGGAGAAGCTGCCAGCGGGGAGGCAAGCCACCCCAGGAGGACTGGAGGAGAGCGCAGCTTCTCACCCATGGAGATCTACCGGTGGGGAAATGGGCACAGTAAGAGGGTTGCACGTTCACTCCAGCAAAGATTTATGCAACCCTCTCCAGCCAGGGAGCATAACTGCTTCCTGGCTCGCACATTTCTTACTGCACCCACTGCCTGCCCTCAGGCCCACAGCCTGCCCTGCCCTCTCTGCCCTGGCAGTTGCTCCTGGTCCTGCCGGAGAAGTGGCAGCACTAGAACTGATCTTGCTGGGGGCAAGGGGTTGGCAGCGGCAGGAGCAGCAGGCCAGGGCTTCCCTCCTTCTCTCCCTCCCTCCAGAGGCCTGGGGCTATCTTTAGCTTTGCTCAGCTGGTGTGGGAAGCATGGGGCCTGGCGGATCCCCGGGTGAGAGATGGAAGGAAAGTGGCCTGATTGGCTGACAAAAGTGTCCATAGAGAAGCCGAGGACATGTTTATCCCAAATGCTACTTAGCGCCTATCTTCTTCCTAAAACCAGAGACCGCTCCACTCTTGCAAGGCGCAGGGACTTCCCATCCCACTCCCTCCATCGGGATTGAGGAAGACGCACTGAGCTTCTCTTTGAGGGGTTGTTAAGGGGGGGAGAAGGGCGGCTGACAGAAAGAGTGCCTTGGGGGACCATAGGATCTGGGCCCCAGACAAGCGCCTCCATCTTTGCAGCTGCAGAGCTTGGGAGGGGAGGCTGACTGGGGTTTCCATTCGACACCCACCACGGGCTGAGTGAGCCTCCTTTCAGTGCACAAACTTGGGGCACCAGATAAAAGCTGGGCTGGTGGCTCTGGCGCTGCTTTAATGGAACTGGGTAAACCGAGGGGACTCAGGGGAGGAAGGAGAAGGAACTGATGGGCAGGCTAGAGAAGCTCGCTTTCCCCTCAGTGGGGCTTCCCCATCAGAGCAGCACCAGCAGGAGGAGGAGGAGGAGGAAGCAGTGGGAGAGGCTTTGCTGGCTGCCCGGCTGGGACTCAGAGGCGGGGGAGAAAGAAGGGCGGGTGATTAAATGTCTTCTGAGTGTATCCACGGATGTTTTTTTTGCATTTTTTTCTGCAACCTCTTAAGGTTGTAGAAAAAAATGCTTTTAAAAATAAAAATAAAAAGTTGGCCACGCCCACCCAGTCACATTACCCCCACAAGCCATGCCCACAAAATAAGCCACGCCCACAGAACCAGTAGTAAAAAATTTTAGAACCCACCCCTGATCCCATACCATTCATGTACATAATATAGATCAAATAAAGATAACCATCTGCATGGGTACAATACAATGAGAGTATCCATTTCCATGAAAATACTGTTTAGCAAGTATATAATAGTCTTAATGAAACTTTTACTAGGCTATCATCTATGGCTATCAATCTATATCTAACTTGGTACATATTAATTAATCAGAATTCATTTAGTAAGTTCTGTAGGGCCTCTAGGTTAGAGCTTTCTGAGGGATGGTGCCCCTTCCTACAGCACTTGCCGCCATGTATAAAAACAAAGTTTCTGAAAAGAGATAAATTTAGAGAATATTAGGGTTTTTTTCATGATCTTCATTCTTCTGGTTAGTGCTATTTTGAGAAGGATAGAAATAAGATAGATAAATAGAGTGACTAACTGACTCCTGCAGTTCTAGCTTAGATGATTTCCCAGTGTGTATACAGAATTAGATTTAATTAGATTTTAAAAGCTTTTAGTCCAAGAAAATCTTGGATAACGTTAATGTTAAACTTTAAATGCCTATCAATGTCTTTCTTAAGTTATTAAGGAAAAAAATCTGCAGAGGTTGAAGTAGTTAACCTAATTGTCTTCATACTTCTGATTATTCTTTCAACAGGAAGAAAACCAGACTTGGTAGGTGAAACTTGTATTTGATAAAAACAGGTTGAATGACATGTAATTATTTCTAAATTTTCAAATGAATATGTATTAGGTATGTTTTTTCACCTCTTTACTGTTGACAAGTTAATCAGTGACTAATTATATTGTATAACTTTTTTCGTTTTTAAAAAAGCATTAATTTTATCAAACTTCACGTGTCATTTTTATTATTCTACAGAATTTATTAAAATAGTGAAAACAAATTTATGCTTAGAAAAGCAGAACCTCAAATACTGGCTTATTACTTACAAGTTCAAGGTCCAAACTGTTGGATGCAAACCCATTAAGTTTGCCCATGGCTTTATGTATAGTATTCGACATTTCTAAGACAAGAGGAACTGTGGTTATTTAAGCATAAGAGTTGATCAAAAGAATAATTATACATCATATTGAAGGGATAAAACTATTCCTGACTTGCAGTTTAAGTCACTGATATATTTGGTCTGTCAACATTTGAATTAGATTATCTTCATTTGTTTGTTAAAGGGGCAAAGAATTGGACTTTTGAGCAATCAAAATCAATTTTGGTGAAGTTCTGTTTATATGATTCTTTCCCACTTGAAACTTTCTTACTGGGAATAATTACCGGGTCATATGAAAAAGAAATAAGATACTTAATTATTCACATAATTATAGCAGCACGAATAGTTTACAAATAGTAAATATGGATTACTGATGCGAAGATGTTGAAAAGAAGATGTAAATATCTGTTTTTGTTTGTTTGTTTTGTTTGTTTTTAAAAAACTGTTTAATAAAAATTATTAAAAAAAAAACCAAAATCAATTTTGGTGAAATTATGTTTATATGTTTCTTTCCCACTTGATTTGGATACTTTGATGTTTTACAAGTTTCCTCTCTTTTATATTGAAAAGGGAAAAAAACCCCAGAACAAATTATTACCAGAATTTAATCTCTGACATACAACAGCCAAGGCACAAATGTCCAGTACTAATCAAAGTTTTGTTGCTTTTGCAGGAGAAGGGAGACTAGGAGCTTTAGACATGGAATTTATTCCTTTGCAAACACCCATATAATGACAAGTAACTGTATTTTTCTCATTTGCTAGTAGATTTGCCCCACTTTTCATCTGGCTCTCCTGAATCTTGAACGTCTTTTTCTTTGTTCTCCAAATCTTGATTCACTCCTGTCAATCCATTGTGCTCTCATGGATATAGCTTTCAGCTTGTCATGTTTTGCACTGAACTATCAAACCATGCTCTGAGGAGAAAAAAAAAACACATTACCCCTTTCCCATCTAATCTTTACTTTAAAAAAAAAAGGTAAAGGTTTCCCGTCCACTCATGTCCAACTCTAGGGGCTGATACTTATCTCTGTTTCCTAACCAAGGGAGCCAGCATTGTCCATGAATGCTTCAGTTGTCATGTGGCTAGCAAAACTGTACGCCAAGGGGCACAGAATGCTGTTATCTTCCCACCAAAAGGTGTGCTTATTTAACTATTTGCATGCTTCTGAACTGTTAGGTTACTAGCAGCTGGGGCAAGAATGGGATATGGTACTTAGGTCTTGAACCACCAACTTTCCAGTTGATTGTCAACTGCTAGGCCACCACCTAGCAGTTTAGTCTGTATTTACCCGCAAGTGCTTTTTCTGCCAGTAGAAGGGACACTGCTGGTTCCAAATGTCCTTTTGCATCCTCTTCTTTCTTGCCACTCCCACCAAAATGTAAGACTTTCATATGCTACTGAGCTAACTCTGAACCTATTCAAAGAATGAATTTAGCTTCCATCCTTTCTATTCCCCTTCTCCTATCTGAGCTACTTAGGACAGGTAAACCTATAACTTGGAGCTATCAGGTCTGGATGAAGAGCAATTCAGCTAACCTCTTATTTCCTCAAGATTCTGCACTGTAGCTATTTTTTGGCACTTTCCTGCATTGCACTGACTTCATGTTCCCTACTGGGTTGCTGAAGGCTGAGATACCAACTACATTTGGATGCCATAACAGTAGCAATCTTGGAAATGTAGTAATGGAGGAAAGGAAACAGTGGTGACTTCTGACATCTTTTCAAAGACTCTGATAGCAGAGAGAAGGTTGTGTGAAATGCAGCATTCCACACAATAAAGCAAGCATATATTTGCCTCTTTCAACACTATGAAATAGTCTAGGGAGGCACTGGAATTGAGATCTTCTGGGATGAGTTAGGAGCACTGTTTGCCTCCTGTCTTCTCGCAGATTTGAAACTTGAGGTTTCATACCCAAACCATTTTTGTTCAGCTTTAATTTCTCCAGATTATATGAATCAGAACTGCTGTTCAGTTTCAGTTTATTTAAATTTATATACCACCCTACTCCTGAAGGACTCAGGGCGGTGAACAGCCATAAATAAAACAAATATAACATAAAATTTAAAAACAAGTTAAAAGACATATTAAATAGATTTGGCCCACTAATTAAAACACCCCTATTTTTAAGAACAGATCCGAATTAAAATTAAACAATTAAAAAGGGTTAGGCCAGCCCCGCTTGATGGAATATGTTCAAAATATGAAGTCATGTATATCTACAGCATACAGACTTGTGTCCTTTTATGACCATCATAGTACATATTTTTTTGTGAAATGAGAAGGAAGTTATTTGACCTAATTTTATATTCGGCCATTTTTCCCAAGAGAAGATTCGAGCCCAAAAGTGTGTTTAATTTCTACCAGCAAATATTTTTAGTTAAAGAGATCAAATTAAAATACTTTTATGTTTCTCCTTCTACAGGGGCAGAACAGCATCCATTTTCTAAATAATGTCCTGAGAGAACTTTAGTAGAAAAAAGCAAGGGATTTCAGTAATGTTATGGATATTTATAAATGTAACATCTAAGGGATTCCATTATCTTTTACCTTTTTGTTTATGTGCTCGTATTATAACTCTAAATTCCCTATATGGCCCTTAAAATGCGAAGAGATACATAACAAATAAATTCATAGGTAGAATGTTTTATCTGGACAAAGAAGGGAGAATTATAAAAAAAAAGCCCAAGAAGATGTTTGTTACTTAAATGCTAGGGCATTTCTCTGCTTTTTATATTTGTTTTTATTTCTTTTTCCCTTGAGGAAAAATGCCTAGACCTTTGAAAGCAAGGCTTTTGAAGAAGCATTTGAAAACATTTTAATCCTGTCAGTACATTTGATTCCAAGTCACAATGATCCCAAATTTAAGCATAGCTAATTTTAACTTCAGAGGCGCTAAATTGGCAATGAGGAAGTGTCCATTGTTAGGGTGAATAAAGTCTCCTCATTTTTAAATCCCCAAACAGCCTTTTATCTTTTTGTTTACTCCTTCTTGCATACATTATATTGACTTTTATACTCTGTATAAAAGCAACAGTATAAATTGTTGCTTTAAAAGATATTGGACAAACACACATTCACAGGAGTCAAAAAAGTCAAGTTAGTAAGTGTGACTGTAATAGAAGTCCTATCCCTTTAAAATATTAATCACACACACATAAAAAGGGAGCAAAGCCGTGATTACATGGACCTGTAAGCCATATTGAACTTTTGTACAGTCTCCCTGTGAAGAGCTATACTCTACTGTCTTTACTTTCTTCAAGTTACATGATTCGTTTTGACCTTATTCTTGTTTATCTATTAGCAAGGATATCTGAGTCAGCCTCTACTTGTAGACTTCTGCTTGGAGATTTCTGTAACCCACAAGGCTTCTATTCTAATAAATGGACAATGACAGAAAACTGGGCAACAGCTAGAGAGGATGGTAACTTTTTTTGAATGCATGATAGTCTCTGGATTTGGAAGCTAAGTAGGATTGAGCTTGGTAGACCATTAAAAAATAAATCTGTTGGCATGAGTGGGAAGTAGCCATCTGTCACTGTCTCTGTCCTTGAAGAAAAGTATACTGATAGATCTGGAATGTCTGAAGGAATTGAGCTCAACTTGAAGGAACTTTTATTGCATATGAAAATAGATAAACAGACATACAATTAGTTTGGTCCACATATTCATAGAAAATGTACACATGTGATGTTTTTTTCTTTTGAAATCAACAGATAGTTTTTATTATATCACAAATTATCTCACTCTTAGTCCAACCTACTTATGTAGAATTGATTTTATGGCTGGGAAATGAAACTTGATCTTCATTGACCTCTTAAAGGAACGATGGAATAGGAAACTAGCACACAAACAAAGAAATGTGATCTTCCATAGGATTTGATGAGGCATGTCAAGGAAAGACCATAATAAATAATTCAGTAATCAGTATGGGTTGATCTTCCAGAACTTACTAATTTTTTTTCCATTTAAAATAGTTAAACAACTTGTTCTCTTCTGCACAGACAAATTTAAGTTTGTTCATTTGACCAACTGATTAAAAATGCCAAAGGCAGACAATTAATTAATTATCAGTGGGCAACCCTTGAGTAAATTCAGCTGAAAAGGTTTTCTGGCAGTGAGCAGCTTCAACATTAAAGGTTCTATCAGGTAGGCCGCAGTCTCTTTTGAAGTCTTCAAAGACAAGCATATGCTCCTGAAGTTTAGTATCCTTGGTTAATTTTCACAGACCACAGTCACTGTGAACCTGAACGCTGTTCTTATTTTTACTCTCCTTTTATGTTTTAAAAATATATTTCTTAGCATGCAGAACTCAAGGCAATAAGAGTCTTTTTCAAATGGTGAGACATTTATGTGTGTGAAATGTGCATATGTACACTTTGCACACAAACACATTCTCTCTCTCTCTCTCTCTCTCTCTCTCTCACACACACACACACACACACACACACACACACACACACAACACACACACATGCACAAACACCGCAGTTTTCGCTTCCTTATTTATGCAGACTCCTGATATCGGTCAATAACATCTACTCTTAAATTTCATTTTAGACACTGCTAGATTATTTGTAAGGCTAGGCTAACATTTGCTTTCCTCCCCCATAGAGAGAATCAATAAATGGAACAACATGACATTTTTAAACATAAAACCCTTGGAAAACAAAATTTGCTGACCCTTTCAAAATGCACATGTCAATAAATACCATCTCTTCATTATCTGAGAATGGCAGATAATTATCACTTTTATAGAACTGTAATATTTTTCTTGCTGAGAGTTTTCACAAGTTGTTGTTGGGAAAATGGCAGTGAACTTCTGACCCATTTGCTGCATTCTTGGAGCCAGGTGATCCAATTTCTGAATTACCTGGCCTCAAGAGGCTAAGGTTAATGCTACTTTGTTCTACACTAGGACCACCTTCATTCATGATTTGATGGTGTGTGAAATGGCAGACTTATGTTCATAACCACAACCTGACTGGGCAAATTTGACAATGAAGTCTTGGGTATAATATCCCCAGATAGATTTCATATCACACTTAGATCTGAGAAATGTTTAATACTTCATTATGGGGAGGGGGATTGGCCCCAGTCTTGAAGGTGGCTGTGGTATGTCCATTTCTGAAGCCATTCCTGGTCTGTTTTAACTATTGGCTGGTCTTCAACCTCCCTTTTCTTGGGAATACAGTTGATACAGTTGTGGTGGATCACCAACCCAGCACCTCAGAAGAAACAAATTATCTGTGCCATGTTCAGCTAAAGATCAGGTCCAGTATCAGACTGAGATAGCATAGTATATTTTTTCACGGGCAGTGCCCATGCTTTAGAACAGTCTTTCCAGGAAGATTAGAATAAACTTGTTACATATGTAAATAGCAAGTGAAGCCAGGGATGTAGGCTTCACTCAGGTCTGGGTTTAGATGGACATTTGCATGCCCACCGCTGATTGGTGAATTCAAATGGGGCCACCACTGATTGGTAGATTCAAACGGAGGGAAAAGTAAAGCGTTGTCAGTGGCTGAATCGGTGGGACAGCTCCCTTTAAAAGGGAGTGCTTCCGGCTAAGCCTTTGCAGAAGTCACTTACTTAAATAAAGAGCTGAAGTTACTGTCTCATCCTGCCTCTTCATTGCCTCCCACAATCAAACAAAACTCATCTCCAATGATTTGTAAAAGGATGTTAAAAACTGAGCTTTTTTGCAGTGTGGTCCACTTCAGGTTGTGTGCCATCTTTTATTCTTATTTTTGACCTTTGCCTTTGTTTTGTTCTTGTGAATGTCACTGAGTGATCAGTACTATTAAAATGGGTTGCTTTCAGAACTTTTGGACTAGGTTCAGAAATGAAATATGTGGCCAGTATAAACTCCTGCACTTTTACTTCTTAAACCTAGATATTATTCTAGATATTAT